AGTATCTACATCTCCGACTCTCCAGTCAGTAGTGTCAGTCCATGGTTACTTAATCTTTCTCGATGATCTTCGGAATCACCAAACTCCGCGTTCGCCGTTTCTGCAGTACACAGAGGTAAAGACGCAGCCCCTACCTCGGTATTCTGCAGACTTAGATTCTCAAATAATCAGCCAAAAAACGAGGGGAGGGCTCCAAAAAGTTAAGAACAAAAACTCACGAGATAAGCGGCTTTCATTCGCTTTTCGGGATGTTTATCGATTTCTTCACGGTCACCGCCGAGAACCTGAATGGCTTCTGCAACCGTTCGAGCCGTGGCCGTTCCTATTTCCAGCTGGTTGACATTTTCCTCGAGGTGGTCGACAACCTTAAGCACTGTTTTTACACACAATTAATCGAAGTCGCACCTAATATTTTTAACGGGCCAGGAGTTTAAGAGGTCTACAGCTGTGTTATACTACGCAGCGGTGAGCTAAAACTGCGTTTAAGGTGGGCAGCAACTGATTGGATCACATTATTTAGCGGTAATTAAAGTAAATCAGGCTAACCATTGCTATCGATACTGGTCAGCCCGCTCCCCAGAGAAATTCAAGAGATGGTCAAGCGCTATTTGAGCTGCTGAACCAATGGTGATCGGATACTGACCGAATAAGGAAGAAAACAATCATTGGTGCAAATGCCGCAGCTAGGCTTATTTCACCCCTATGGCTTATTCCACTTGAAAATGCCGCGGCTGACTGCGACGCTATCAACTGTATGAATATCCTACGCCTTAAATGGGTGGTTAATCTTTAAGATTTCCAGAATAAGGAGAATCCGCGGATTCAATAAGTGCGCAATTAGAGCACTCCGAACGTTCTCCACAGTAGCAAAACATGAACACGAACAGAATGAGAAGCAGCAAGTAAAACGGGAAGTTGGGGTTGGATCGAAAGGTTTCCTGGTGCAAAAGTAGGGCTGACGTCATCCCATGCGGTCATTCACTTCTGTTTGGATGAGCAGCGGGACTGACGACATCAAAACAGAAGTACTGGTCTTTCAACAACGAAACTCATTGTTCTCTGAGACTGGGTAAGCGTCCATATCTCCATTGCGGGAATCCCACGAGGGGTTCCTTGAATCTATCCCCCGCCCCCAGGTTATTAGTACCGTCGGCAAAGGTAGAACGTAAGAATAAATTGCAAAACAAGAAACCTCAATCTTTTCTGCAGCCAGTTTAGCGCGCTCTTCTTCTTCTTTTCTCAAGCGAAGTTCGGCCTCCTTTCTTTCCTCTAAGATGGCCCTGGAAAAATATTGAATATTAGTATGTTAAAAACAAAACGTAAGGAACTCCTACAGCGTTCACGCGCTTCAATTCACCTGGTAACCTTCTGCGGTTGAACAGCAGACTTTGACGCGGCGAGTCTGGCCATTTCAGCCTCGGCAAGTTTACGGTTCTCT